ATTATTGAGAACCAAATGGGCGCAAGGCTGCAGTGAAAGGTTAAGAACCGCAGGTGTAGGTCACGGGCAGTGCACGTACAAGTTCCAGTGCATTGCGTGCGGTGGACGTGGTGGAGCGCTCGCGCCGTGTGGAGAACGCCTCGGGTTTGTCACGCCGCTGTCGAGGCGACTCGCTGTGTGTGTGTGCGCCTCGCTGCCAGCGAGCAGGAAACGTCCCCGTCGAATTGAAAAGCACGCCGAGCCACAGTCTGCGCGCGACGGCGAGGCTCAGGTTGAATTGGCCCTGGTGCAAGAAATTAATTGGGGGCGGGGCAATTCTATCCCCCCCCCCCCCCACTCTTCCCCCACCCCGGGTGCAATTCCACCGCCTGCACACCCGAGAGCCAAGCCACTGCCTTGAGCCCCCTTTGATAGTATTTCGGTGTTTGTGTTGGTCTATGGGATTTTGTACGAGTCTGACGAGTCTCTGTGTTAGTGCACGGGCCTCTTTGTGAATCTATGGGTCTCTGTCTCTCTCTCTGCAAGTGTGTGGGGTCTGTATGTGAGTCTATGGCAGTGGCGTAACGTGGTTGGCATGTGGTCTTGGTGCAAGGAATGAGTTGCGTGCCCCCCACCCCCCAACTCTTCCTAGTCCAGTGGCGCTTCGGCCTCTGTGTCTCCTGTGCAGTTGAACAGCCTGCACACTTTATAGCTACGCTACTGTCCGTGTAGCAGAGAGGATGCGTGCCTGAATGTCACACTCGCCATCGAATGATGGCTAGTCATTCAACAAAGACGGCCACTGCTTTCAGATTCGCTTCTATGGCCGTCTGGAACGCTCTTCCTTCCGATATTAGGAAGCCACTGGAGGCCATGAACTTTTAAATCTCGATTGAACACTAATTTCTTTAAAACTGCTTTTTGTGTTTCGTTTGTTGTCGTTCACCCGCACCTCCGATTAACACGGTTGGCGACGTACGGTGCGAAAGAAGTCCAAGATACATACGATCGTAATAATTATAATCATAATCTTAATTTATCCATAATATAGTTTATTTTTGGGTTAGATCGCGTAAATGTAAATGTGTCGTTAAACCCGCCACCACCCGACACAGCCAATTAGTAAGGTTCGTCACGTAAACAGAACATGCTCATTCTTTACTAATATTTTTATTTATTTATACGTATATTAATTGCAGCAATATACAATGCATTGCATACAGAGTTCAAGCTATCATCTCGACAGAGGTGAAGGGCAAAAAAAAACCACTGGGTATTAAATCAACTGCAGTCCTCAGGGGTCATCACATTTTTCCTCGTCAGCAAATCATCTCTTTGCGTACTCAAACGCGATGTTCGATCGAAAGTTAAGGCTCTCTACATTACACACGTGAGCTATATTAGAAGACAAGATCTGCGGACTCGATGCCCTGATCGTGAGTTTTAGAGTCACTTAAAACCTACTTAGCGGGGCTCTGTCAGATGAAGGGAGCGAGGCGGGGGGGAGGGTTGCCACCCACTAGGGTACATCGGGGACTCTACGGATCACCCTGTGAGTAGTGGTGGCAACTGAATAACGTAGAGCAATGCGATGCATTCCTGGTACGCAAGAGGGCTTGAAGCAATTCGAGCGCTGACGTGGCCCAGTCAGGGCGCGAGAGCGTCCGCCCCTTGTTGCAGAGGCACGCGGTTCGAGTCGAGCGACCCGCCCTGGTTATTACTGTGGTAGTGCACGCGTGTTTGTGAACAGGTGGGGTGCATCGGCCAGTCATCTCAGTCAGTCGACCCATGGCACCTGGGTCTGTCCCGTGACCTCCTGCTGGCGGGCGTTCGATACTTCACGTGGCCTTAACGTGCACCTAGCCTGGTACAAGCGCCGTAGTGACATCACCGCCACTTAGTGGCGAATAGCGGATGTTGTTGTTGCTGTTGTGAAGAGTAAAACTACCACACGCCGTCTGATTCACAGTGGACGTTACAGATACCCGGGTGTCATTGTGTAACCGGCGTCTCGGTCCACTATCACCAACAATTCGGAAACTTTCAGCGCAAGTTACTAAAATTGGGATGGCATGCAGCAATGTCGCCCTCGACTGTGAAGCAACCGCAGACGATGTGAAACACAGCGCCTTTGTGATAGCCCCATGCTGGTAGAAATGCGCTCATAAAAAAAAATGTGCGAAATTAGTATCAAGTGTTATTGTTAGCCGCATCTAAAGAAGCTTTTCAATGACGGTGGGACATGTACATTATGGATGATATTGGTCGCGAAAGTCTACGTGTTAAACTAAAAAATATACGTGTATATGTCTGTAAGAGTTAAAGTGCAAACCTGCAAATACTTGCTCACAGCCCTGCTGGCAGACGAGCCTGCTCTAGAGGGAGCTCTTGGAGAGCCGATCATCTCGAGGGTGCTGGCTAACAGTGCTTGGAAGAGGTGGAACACCTTTGAAGAGGTGGGAGTGCCTACGCTTTACCCTACTGCACACGACCTGCCCATCCACTGTCGTGTAAACGCTGCTCAACATGGTAACGACTATGTCAAGTATTTCGCCCGCATCATCGTACGAGCGAATATCGCAGGGCGTGGTGTACGATGGGTACACCCAGTGATTCATCGAAACGCGAAAGATCGAAACACATCTCCACCCAAGACCCCAGGACCTAACCACGCAGCCACATTGTAGCCAAGACCCGTCAGACATAGCTAAAAGGGTATTGGTGGAGTGCGCTGTACATTTGTGTGCGTCTCATAAAGCATTGATTTGGGGAAAAAAAGGTATTTGGTGGTTGACCCGACCACCAGTAAGGCCACTCACGCTAGCTTGCTACGCGGAACATGTGTTGTGGACACACAAAGCACACAGCCGAAGAGGTGAACACTGCAAAGCTGCACAGCTATCCGATGTGCTTTCGTGTTGTTCGGCACGTTTCGCTCCGCGTGCTGGGAGCTTCTTCAGGAACTGAATTCATCCTGTTTAGGTCCCTCCGGTGTGCCGGGTGGAGGTCGGTCCCCACACCTAAAGCCAAGAACCGAATGTGGTTCCTGAAAAAAAATCTCCCCGACTCGCGGAGAGAATCTTTGTACACTTGGTGCCGATTAGGCACGCGCACCGATCCGAAATCAAATCAGAAATCAGAGCGCAATCGCGAAAACCCACGTGACCGCACTGCTAAGACATCATCACATGAGCAACGCTATCCCTGGGTGAAGGGAGACATTTTGACCGTGGATAAAACAGAAGTGTGGCCTTGTTGGTGAGCTCATCTCGTACCATTAATGCAAATTTGGGCTTAAATGTGACAAATGTAAACCGACTTTGCCGGTATGCACTGCAGCATTCCTTTCAGCCACGGGGTAGGCGATGGAACAGCAACAGCTGACCTTGGCAATACTTTTGAAATGTCAAATTCAATACGTTCCAAAAGGCAGACGGCGCAGGAAAAGAAATATCCCAGCGGCATGAAGTGTTTCTCAACAGCAGCCGTCTTTATCAACATACCTGACTGAGCTCGTATTGCAGTTTTAATTGGCGGTGACGATAACGGCAGGTTACTAAATAACCCACGTTTTATTCAAAACGCTCATTAAAAAGACCGGGGGAGAGACGTTTTCATCGCGTTCCGTAAGCTGGCGGGCGTGACACGTTTAACCAGACCGACCACTTTATATGTATAAAACTTTAATGAGATCATTAGAATTAAGCATGTGCAGCAACATGCAGACCTGATATCTGAACGGGTCTTTTTTTACGCACTTAAATTTTCACGAACTTTCCATGGACCTCGACACTTTAAACGTGACAAGTGCTGCAGGTCGGATGGGACGTTCAAGTATGTTATACAATGAGCATTCGGTGGAGTGGTGGCACTGCAGTTAGCGCACCGTGTTGTGAACCCGGCAAAAAAACAAAACAAAAAACGTGAGTTCGATTCCCTGCCACGGCTGACGTTAAGTGGCGAGTTGCATCTGAAACTATCCTGAGCTCCTCTCCTCCAACACCTCATCAAACCACACGAAGCCCCCCTCGTGGATTAGTCCATTAAGCTTAAAACACACGTGCTGCTGATTACGCAGAGAGGCAGCTGCTGTAGTTCACGGGTGTCACGTGCCACACGCTTCGCCACCAGAGCACAACAAACACGGCGCACACAACAGCAACAATAACACGGTTCGCTCTCTTAGTTCATTTGAATGCGTTGGCAAAGTTTGACATGCGAGTGGGTGCTGTGAGCTCGATTCCCTGCCACGGCTGACGTTAAGTGGCGAGTTGCATCGGAAACGATCCTTCAGCTCCTCCAACACTTCATCAACCCACACTCAAGCATCGCTCTTGGATGAGTCCTGATAACACACGTGTTGCTGCTGCTTACTCGGGGAGGCAGCTGATGCGCCGAGCAACACAAGGCACTCATCATCCCCTGCTCCATCGTGGATTAACGCGCGCGTTCTCTTAACACGCGCATAGCGCTCTCAGCACGCCAACTTAGGGGCAGTGTTTTGATGTTTCATCCGAACGTCCCGCCTCGTGTCGCGCTCAGCGCTGGTTTCTAGGCGAGGTCATGGACCTTCCCTAGGTCGACTCAGCCTCAAATGAGTACCTGGCGTTGTGTGCGCACATCGCCGCTGGGGAGACAAAGGCGGTCGGGCGTGGTGTTGGCCACCCACCCGCTCACGTGCCGTGCCGGCCTTCATAAGGTTCTCGCTAACTGCATTTCCCGGCCGCCTTTGTCTCCCCCATTGGCGATGTTTAAAAATCGCACCGGCTACTCATTTGAGGCCGAGTCGACCTAGGGGGAGGCCCAAGACCGGTTCAGATAATCGTCACCGGTGCTTGCCAGGTGAGCGTCACTCGAACTCTCGTCGCCCCGGGTCCGTAGCGCTAACCACTACACTACCGCTCCCCACGCGTGGCACGCAGCAACAAAACTCCCACCACACAGCGCTCTGTCACAGCGTGGTTTGTCGTCACCGGCGGCTTATATTCATGATGCCTCAAAGCCAATGGGGGGGGGAAGGGCTTGGTTGGGGAGGTGGCCGAGGTTTGGCACATTCAAGGCATCCGCCTTCCGGGGGAGCTGTAAAAGTTGCTGCAGGTGACGGCGGCGGCGGGTCTCTGTGGATCTCGTTCCCGTGTGGCTCTTCCACCACTTGCCCAGCCACAAGCTCGCTCCGTTCCCAGCAGCAGCAGCAAAGCAAACCGCGTGAGTACCACCACCACTACTAACCCTACACACGACTGTTGATGAAGGCTTGCTGCTGTCTGCATCAACGGCGGGGTTAATCGTTCGACGCTTTTAAAAAAAAATGTTCGGGGTCGTGGAATCATTGTTGGTTGGTGTGTGCGTGTTTTGTGCGCAAGTGCGTGCGCTTAAATGCAGACTTTGATGCCCTGCAATGGTCGGTGTATATATTTGGTGTTTGAACACCCTTAACACCTGTTTTAGTGCCGGTAAAGGGTAAAAAAAAAATTGCAACGTTTTCCTAATAATTTTCATACACAGATTGAATAGTTCGCTTTGAGCGTGCTGTTACGTTGTGTTGCCGTGTGACTGGAGTCGAGTTAATTTAAAATGTTATCGCACAAAAGTTACGATTTATTTTTGGGACGGGGGAGGGGCTCGGAAAGCTTATGTTTCTTTCTGTGTTCAAAGAGATACGTTAATAGTTGACGCCGAGGGTGAGTTTAATCTGTGTACCAGTACATCTAAACACTGCAGACAATGTTGTCTTCACGGCGGTATACAAAGTATTTCGTCACAAAAACATTGAATGTGTGACGGTGCAAATGGCAAAATATTCACATTGCAACTGTGGTCAGTCGCCGTGATGCGTCTACCTTTGTGAGGCGTTTGCATAGTATCGTAGTTACAAAGTTAAGCACGTATGCTACATGTGTGTATACTGTACATGCATATTATTGGTTCTTTCGGTAAAGTCGCGTAGGTAGGTTCAAAGAAAATAATAAAAAAATAACAGAAAACTACTGTACGTGTGTTTATTGCTTTACAACTACTACTACACACGAGCAAAACTAAAACATACGAAATGCGCCGTACAATGAGTACATCATTTTTAAAGGGGGTTAGTTACTCCAGCGTGTCAACAGGGCGTTGGTTCACTGATCACCCGAAATGTTGCTTAATGTCACCTCATTCCCTTCACCAAAACGTTCCACACGCGGATTGCTAAAAGCTGCGTTGTACAAATGAGCCATGCCCAGAAGGGGGAAGCTCATTACCTGGCCATGCATGGTGGTGGGATGCGGGTTGAGACCTCCTTGAAGCAATCGCTCGGAATGCAGTGCCATTATTTGCGTGAATGGCCTGGCCTGGCTTGGGCTTGACATTAATTCTGGCTTCGTGTTGGCTTTGCTATAATCGCAATGACTACGACAACTATAATACAGCGGGTGGAATTAAGCCCACCCCACCCCACCCACCCTCTCGCTGGCTAGGTGGCAGCCGATTCTATTCTCGGGTATGGCAATACGTGGCACATTAAGCCCACCCCCCCCCAAACCTGCTCCCCGACAGTCGCCTTCATTCTGTGTTGCGTCCTGGAAGTTTAGTTATGGGGAAAAAACAAGAAAAGCTTTTACTCATTCTGGCAATAAAACAGGAGGTGATAAGATGTTCAACCACCAAATAGATTGATTACCTTTTGCAAGGAATCAAGTCTGCATTGACCACACACAGCGCTTATGGTGAACATGTAAACAAACATGCTCTGATAATATATGCATTGTCTATGAAACTGATTGGCCTTCATTATGTATTTTTCCGTGTCAAATCGCGTAAGTAAAAAAAATGTGTGTCGTGAACTCTCCTCCACCCGACACAGCCAATGAATAAAGTTGTCACGTGACGAACCGATGTGCCAAATTATAAATAAAATGACTCGACACCAGCTTTAGTTTTTACTTATTTTTAGTTAAGTCTCAACTCGGGTGTCTTTTTGGGTGGATTTCGTATGTTCTCCCTCTGTTCTGTATGGGTTTCCTCCAAGATTGGCCTCCACGAGAGACGGCCTTCTTTCGGGCCAAGTCTCACCAGTGTCAGACCAGAGAACGTCAAAAGGCGAACAGTTTAATTTGTTTGGCGAGGTTCAGGGTAAAATTGGCAACGTCTTTTACTCGAACGTGTTTAAAATACCCCCCCCCCTTCCCGAGCCGCATAAATTTAACGTTGTAATACTGGTAACCAATGTACACTCTTAAAACAGCATAGTCTTGTTCAAACACGGCCCGAGAGCGAGATTTTAAACTGGTTGGGCTGGTTTAATTAATCTTTTGCTCCTTCAGGGAGGGTTTGACTCGAAGCAAAGAATGTTGCTGTCTTGGCTTGATTTTTTTTTAGATTCCTGTCCTGAGTTGTTGATGCTTCTGACTTAACGTGGTGAATCACCTGACTTGTAAACGATTCGGACTTGTCAACGATTAGATAAAAATGGGGACTTTAATTATGAAATGTAATGTGTCGTTGATTTGGCCCAAATTAAAATAAAAAAATGTTCGACTGTGAGTCAAGCGACTTTCCAGAACAATTTCCAGAACAATGTTAGCCAGAAGTATTGGTTTAAACAAGCAAACTGTGGACTGGGTTTTTACTTTTTAGGGGTCTCATCAACAGGGTCGGTCCTGTTAAACAAATACTGCTGGATTGCCAAATATTGTTTTGCAAGAGCAATCACTCTTCATGACGATGGGAGTCCTGTTTTCACAAAAAAAACAATGCTGTATAGAATTATGTATTGTTGAGCATTATGGATAATACAATTATTAATTCATCTTTCAACATAACAATAATATATGAATATATTTATTGTGGTAGTCAGCTGGCAGAGAGGCCAGGGCAATGAGTTGTCGCCGCTGAGATCCTAGCTTTAAATCCAGGCTTGTGATGAAAGTGGGTTCTCATTGTAAGTTGATTGGCCTCAGCTACTTGACAAATGCCTGTACAAAAGTTATCACGATGAATTTGGGTTCCAAACTTACATTTCTCATATTCTATCTCTGACAATTACAAATATTGGTTGACTGTCTTGGAATAGGTTGGGAAAGCACCCCCCTACGATGTGATGATATCTGCTTTTTATGGGCTGTATTTTGCTATCCGGAGGGGTTGCAATGCCCTGTAAGAGATCCAAATGGATCGTCATCTCGTGGCACGATACCAGTAACATGTTTGGGATACAACTGGAGAAAACAATGAAGGAAATATGAAAGGAGACAAAACACAAATTCGTTTTAAGCCACCAGCCTGTAGGTTTACCAGTAGAACACTCAGGGCTTGTACGCTGTCATGTACTTTAATGCTTTGCTGGAAAAAAAAGCCTAGTGTCGTAAAAACATAACGCAACATTTAATAATAAAAAAAACATCTCGAAGCGATTCGTGCAAAGTTTGTCTTAAACCGGGCATGGTGCTGGCCAACCCACCCCCGTCATGTGCAGCGCTTGTCTTCACATGTACTTTCGAACAGCACTTTCCCCAATATTATGTTAAGGCTATACGGGTGATCTTTGTCTTTGTATGCCTTACAAGTTCCACGTGTGTACATCGTTGTTTGACATGTCTGCTTGCACTCATTTTTAAAAATTTCATTTCTTTTCCAGAACACCCACCTCGCTTGGCCTGACAATCCGGCGACGGCACGTGCGGTGATCTTCGGCAAGAGTTCAACAGAGCATGCGTTGACAAACACGGCGATAGGATCATTCAGAACACACAGGGGCTCCCGTCGATTCGACGTCTTACTTTTTTTTTTAAGCTTTCAACTGCTGCATTAGCTGCGTTTTGAAGATGTGGTGAAAATACAAAGTTGTGATGCTCGTTTTTCCTTGCCAAGCACTTAGTCACGCAGACTATGTGACACGTCTGGACCCCACCTTTTAAAACCGGGTGACTCGCCCAAGCCACGGGCAGCTTCGGCACGGAGGTCGCAGTATTTTTCAAAGTTGCGCATCGTAGGACTACATTACGAAACGACACTGGCTGTTTACAAAGTAGATTTACTCAAAGGGCACTTCGAAAATTGGCGGTTGTCTAATGTTAACATACATCAGTAAAGAATAAAATATTTAACCGACGTGCGAGCGAGTTGGTGACCAGTGAGGGAGGAAAGGAGGCTTTCCCACACACACACACAGATTGGACCTATCCCTGCGACAAAATGCTGGACCTCAGTTACTTGACGGAGGAAGAACAAAGGGCCATCCTGAATGTGCTCAAACGGGATGCAGACCTCAAGCAGAAGGAGGAAGACCGCTGCAAGTGAGTACTGCAGCTCCCACGCCCTTCAGCTGTACCATAAAGTATACAATATTGAAGTGACTCTCACTATGGCTAACGCGACTCTGTTCCACCCTTATCCCCTGCATTGGATACACCCCATTCCAGGATTTGCATTTTAGCAGAAGTTGACCAATTATGAGGTGGCCGGCTGGCTGAGGGGTCAGAGCACTGGTATCCTGGGTTTGAATCCAGGTTTCAGCCGCCCGTGGTTGAACTAGTCCACGAGCCCAGAACAGGCATTGTGCTTGTCTGGGTCACCCGAGGTGGCGTAGCTTTAGTGGCTCTGCTTTCTTGATGTGGCCCAAAAAACTGTGAATTACGTGATAACCATTTTAAATGAGTGGGTTATTGAGTTAGCCATGTAAATAAATTTGTACTTCCTTTTCTACCTTAGGTGGTATAAATGTCTGGTCTCGCCCATGGACTAATCTGTGTTCTCTAGTGTAGTGAGTTGCAGGGTGCTGTATGTTATATTAACAGCTGTTGAGTTGGTTGGGTGGCTCAGAGGTTAACTTTAATTTTGTATTTTACCAGGTAAGGCCCACTGAGCAATAGAGCTCTTTTTCAGAAGTCACCTGGCCACAAATGATAGCTCAACGAAGTGGCTTATCATGTGGAAATTTATAGTAGCCAAATCTAAACGCATGTTGATTCTAAAATGTGGAGGGGGAAACCGGAGGATGACCCAGAGAAAAATCCTCGCCACCACTGGGAGAGAGATACGCAAGCTCCAAATATACAGGCGTCAAGGGTTGGGATCAAACCCAAGACCTCTCCTGTTTACCAGGCGAGGTAGCTGACGTCTAACATCTCACCACCCTTGCACCCCAGGTTAGATCTGAGCTGCTGGGTTCTGATCTGCGATTCAACTGGCTGTGATTCAAACTGCATTCTCTAGTGTCGTGAGCCAATAGTCTCAGCTTGGCCAATAATGACTGCACAACAACAAAACATTTCCAATTGTATTGTTTTTCTAATTCTATGAATTCAGCTATTTCCAGCTCTGAGCATTAAAACAATGGTGTGATTGCCATGCGACGATTGTCGCTCTCTGTAGCAGGGAGTGTGTGGAAGTGCACCCCCAAGCATGGGGAAAAAGCAGGGTGATGCACTACTCTCTGAAACTACTTGGTGAGAGTTTCCATTGCAGAATGATTTTGTTCTATTCGTTGCAAATGATGACAGCAAGATGGTTGAGGAGCTCAATGCCAATGTCAAGGTCTTCTGGCCACGATGAGAGGGCTTCTGGAAAGAGTTCGTGTAGAGTTGCTGTTCCTCTGTTGAAGGAACGCAGACTATAGTGGTTTACGATATGGTCCATAGTTTGGGTTGAATGGCCACAACCGCATGACTGTGGCTTGTCTTGATGTATCTCTGCGTAGCTCTCTTTGATCTGTGTGTCTCCATGTATCTCCGAGTCCCCTATGGATTTATTATTTGGATTCAAAGTTCAACTTGCATGGCCACAATCGCATGACTACGTTTTGAGTCTTTGAATTTCCGTTCGTGACGGATATGCGGTGCGCATTGGCCTGCTGTTGATGTTCTCATGCGGTTGACGGCTACACCACCCAGGTGTCTTCGAGGAGGAATGTAAAAGCCGGGGAGTGCGATGTCTCGGTATTTTGTTGACATGACTCGATGGCACCATTGGAAAGAAAATGCAAACAAATTACTAACATTTTTTTTAAGTGACAAGAGTGAGTTGTATGTGTGTGTGTGTGGAGCGGTAGTGTAGCGATTAGCGCGCTGCGCTATGAACCTGGCGACCCGGGTCGATTCCCGCTCACGGCCAACACCATTGACGATTATCTGAACCACTGGGGAGACTAAGGCGGTCAGGCGTGGTGCTGGCCAACCACCCCCTCGTGTACCGTTCCGGCCTTCATAGGTGCTCGCTAACAGCACTTTCCCCTACAGTCTGTTAAGGCTATACGGGGGATCTTTATCTTTGTCTTTGTTGGAAATGTGGGGAACGGTGGAACAGCGGTTAGCACACTGCTCTAAGAACCCTGTGAGCCGGGTTCGATTCCCATTCACGGTCGACACCAGTGACGATTATCCGAACCGGTCCTAGGCCTCTCCTAGGTCGACTCGGCCTCAAATGAGTACCTGGTGATGTGTATAAACATCTGCACTAGGGAGACGAATGTGGCCAGGCATGGTGCTGACCACCCACCCCTTCGTGTGCCGTGCCGGCCTTGATAGGTGCTACTCGCTAACAGCACTTGCTCCTACAGTCTGTTAAGGCTATACGGGGTATCTTTCTTGTTTTATCAATGTATTTTACAAATGGTATGAAAAATCAGATGGTAGTGCAGATTGTAGCTGATCCTACAGGAAGTTGGGTGGCCAGCGAGTGCGAGTGTGAGCCAGTTTGGCCGTCGTCAGTTGGTCAATGCATCTTGCAGTTAATGCGAGGCATTATTTCTGAAACAGCCTGCTGTTGTTAACCGGTTTCCGATATCGCTTGCCAATCATGGACAGCCGTGGAATTGAACCGAAGAAGCCGGATTCGTAGCACAGTGCGCTCACCACTGCGCCACACCACTCCACCCAACCTGCGATGGAGTCATCTTTAATCGATCCCGTCTGACATGTTTCGCAAGAGGGGACGTGGCGCTGTTTAAAATTTATAACCTAACCCTAAAAATGTGAATCACTCGCAAGCAAAACTGTAAAACTATAACCGGAGACTTTTCATCGTAACCCTTGGTGCGGTTCTCCTTGGTTGAGTCGCGTGTTGAGCATATCTCCTCTGGAGCTTTCGCCACGCGCTACGGCTGCAGGCATCTTCACGGGTGGAATTAAAACTCGAGGGAAGAAATGCTCAGCTCGCAGCCCAACCCAGAAGGACCACGCTCGGATTGCGAGCAGCTGCGGCAACTTGCGTCTTCCATTCCCATCTTCTTAACCCTTTCCGAGACTTCTGCAGGTTGCGGAGTGGATGTTCCATTCACCGCTGAATCTCGGAACACGTAAGCGGCTCGGTGTTAATTTATTTAGAGCGGCGTAGCACCATTGTTGTTAAAGACGTTGTACTCGGCCTAGAGAATCGTAGCGGCACGATCGCACTCCGACAGCTGGTGCCAAACTGCGCCACGCCCTCCCCGCATGCCCTTGTGCGAGCCTCGGGTTCGTCTGCGAACCTAAAGACGTACCGATGTAGATATTTTATGATAGTTTTTCTTCCAATTCCGTTCCGATGACGCACATGTAAGATACGACGGAGCGGCAGCCAAGGGATGGGACGTGTCCGAGCGGGAGAAGTCGTTGAGGAGATGGAGCGATGGGATAAGCCCGTGTGTTGCAGCAGGGGGGCCCGGCTGGGTGGATTGTTGTATCGCAGGATCCAGAGAGGTGGCTTGCGGAGGCCTTAGTCCAGCAGTGGATTGAGCATTGCTCGTGCTGCTGATGATCCTGCAAACCAGCAGGGCAGCTGATCGTGCGTCCCGACAGTCGTGTTGCTCTTGTTCTTTCGCTACGGGCCTGACTCCAGCTCCTCTCGAATGGGGGGGGCAGGGGGGGGCAGTAGAGCTGCTGTGTGTGTTGGGGGGGGGGAGCACCGTGACGCTGATGCATTGCTACAGACAGTGGAGGGCCCGAAGGGATATTTGACGGTGTAGGACCCAGCCCAGCACCCGCCTGACGTAGGCCCTGTTAACGAATATAAACTCCAGCATACCAAGAGGTTTTTTTTCCCCTTTTATAGTTTATAGTGGTCGGCCCACTGCAATGACCCGAGTACGGTGCCCGGCTACGGCTCACATCGGTGGCGAGAGATATTTGAACCAGTCCCGTAACCCCACCACCACCACCACCTCCACCCTCTCCCCCCTTCAACTCGCTGACAAGCATGGCGAAGTATGGTCAATACAACCGCGATGACTGACAACGGCGTGGAGCTGCCTTCGTCCGGCAGTGGACGACAAAGGGCTGTAAGGATGACATTTGCAGGAAGGAAATTCACTTTCATGGTGGGCATCATCTCCAGCAGCATTTGCTCGTCCGTAAATGTGTTTTGTTGGACAAAGATAAGTGGGGGGGGGGGGGAGCTGCGGTGGAGCGGTCCACGCGCTGTGCTACGAACCCGGAGACCCGAGTTTGATTCCCGCTCGGCGGCGAATATTCGATCCGGCGCTGGACCTCCTCGAGGTCGACTCAGCGGTTAAAACGAGTCTCCGTTACGACGAGTAAAAAAAAAAATTGGCACCGGGGGGAGACAAAGGCGGTCGTGCGTGGTGTTGGCCACCCCGCCCACCTGGTGTGCCTTGCCGGCCTTCACAGGTGTGTGTGCTGCTTGTTAACACAGCACTTGCTCCAACATTCTGTTAAAGACGGCACGGGTGTGGTGTGGGGTTCGATGTCTTCTGACCAGGTCACTGCTGAGCCGTTGGCAAGATTTTCAACGTGGGCTATGCAGGCGAACTGGTCTCGTGGGTATTTGTTCAGCGCTTGGGAAATTGCTCCAGCGTTGAGAGTTTGTACCGGGGCGAGGAACGCACAAGCAATGGTGATGCAGTGTTTTATCAATGAGGTAATTACACGTTATAACCCTGAATGGTGAATATAATTGATAAAGCATTTAAGCCCGTTAAATTAACTGTACTGCGTTTCAGGGCTATGAAATCAACCGTACTGTTGTTAATAACAATGCTAATGCAGGGATGTGGGCGCAGTGGTTAGAGGGCTGTACTGTGACCACAGTGACCTGAGCTGGATTCTCGATTGAGGTTAACGTCATTGACGAGCGATATCTGAACCAGTGCTGAGCACTGCCCCCCCCACCACTCTGTCAACCTGCATTGACCAGCGTGGTGAAGTATGGTGAAATAAGCATCATTACCGAGACGTTGGGAGGCCTTCATCCAGCATTGCATTGATTTAGGGCTGTAGATTGTCATGACATTATTACGTATTTTGACAGGAATCTTCCACTGCTCCAGATACAATCACGCATTTGCTCATGCGTATTGTTG